CAGCCTGTGGGGTCTTCTCTTTCCCTCCACTTTCTGAAGGTCACATCACATGTCCCTGGGACACTGGAAAATCCAGGATAGGGGAGTAGGACCAATCCTATGCCTGGCACTCCTGTGAAGATCTAGCGTAACTGGCATTCAAACTGGCCTCTCATCATGTTGTATGAGTTCTTTGGAGACTCCTGGGGACAGGACATCTTTCGCCTGCATTTCCCTTTGGAGGGACAAATACACCTTCATGTGGCTGATGCTCCTTCCTCAGCCTCCAAGAATCTGGCATCACCTCCAGCTTCTCTCTGTTAAGTTCCATTCACTCACTTCAGATGGCCCACGTCTGATCCAAAGACACCCCTTACCCTCTCTTTGCTCCAAATACCCTCTAGAAGTGGGTGGAGAAATACCCAACACTTATTGCCCCATACAGTAACCCTCTCCTCTTATCTCCAGTTTCCATGTTTGAATGTGTTTTTTATTTCTGTAAGGGGGTTAAATAATAACAACTTCCCTGTTTCTCACCAATCCCTGTCCTCTGTTTCTTTTAATTCTTTCCTCCACTGATCTCCCTTCAGTTTTCTTGAAGTCCCCACCCCCTTTCTTTTCTTTTTTTCCTCTCTAGTTTCCACATATAGAGAAAACATATGACTCTTGACCTTGTGAGCTTGGTTATGTCACTTAACATAATGGTTTCTAGAACCATCCATTTTCCTGCAAATGCCACAATTTCATTTTTATTTATGACTGAATAAAACTCCATTGTATATATTTATATATTCCACATTTTTCTTTATCCGTTCATCTGTTGATGGACACCCAGGTTGGTCCCCTAGTTTGGCTCTCATGAATTGTGCTGCTGTCAACAGGGGCAGACTTGTATCACTGTAGTATGCTGACTTTCATTTTTCAGGCTAAATACCGACGAGTGGTACAACTGGGTCATAAGGCATTTCCATGACTGGTCTTTTGAGGAACCCCCACATTGACTTCCATAGTGGTTGTACTAACTTTCTGTCCCACCAACAGTGTAAAAGTGTTCCTTTTTCTCCACACCCTCTCCATACTGTTTGTATTCTTGATGGCTGCCATTCTGACTGGAGTCAGATTAAATCTCAGTGTAGTTTTGATTTGCATTTCCCTAATTGTTAATGATGTTGAACATTTTTTAGTATATTTGTTGGCCATTGGTATTTTTTCTTTTGATAAGTGTATGTTTAGTTAATTTGTATGTTTAGTCAATTTATTAATCGGGGTATTCACTTTTTTTGAGTGTTAAGTTTATTGAGTAGTTCATATACTCTAGATCTTCTTCTTCTTTTTAGTTGTAGTTGAACATAGTATCTATTTTATGTGGTGCTGAGGATTTAACCCAGCACCTCACACGTGCTAGGCGAGCGTTTGGTCTCTACTTGCTGAGCCACAGCCCCAGGCCTATATTCTAGATCTTAATCTTTTGTCAGAAGAGTAGCTCTCATTCTGTAGGTTCTCTCTTCACATTCTTATTGCTTCCTTTGCTGTGCAGAAGCCTTTTAAATTGATGCCATCCCATTTATTAACCCTTAGCATTATTTCCTGAGCTTTAGGAAAGCTTTAGAGAAAGTTGTTGCCTGGGCCTAAAAGCTGGAGAGTTGACCCTCATTTTCTTCTAGGAGTTTGCACAGTTTCTGGTTTAATACCAGAGTCTTTGATCTACTTTGAGCTGATTTTTGTGCAGGGTAAGGGTAAGGGTGTTGTTTCATTTTTCAACACGTGGATAACCAGTTGTCCCAGCACAATTGTTTTCTCCAATGTATGTTTTTGTCACCTTATCAAGGATCAAAGACTCTAGATACGTGTGTGTTTGTCCCCGTGTCTTCTGTTCTGTACCATGTGTCTACATGTCTGTTTTTACGCCAGTACCGTGCAGCGTTTGTTACTCTAGATTTGCAGTATAATTTGAAGTCAGGTTTTGTGAGGCCTCCAGCATGGCTTCGTTGACTTATAATTGCTTTTGCTCTCCTGTGTCTTTTATTTTTCCAAATGTATTTCAAGACTGTTTCTTTAAGTTCTGTGAAGAAGTCATTGGTGTTTTGATGGGGATTGCATTGAATCAGTAAATTGCTTTGGTAGTGTGGCCATTTCAACAATATCAACTCTGCCTATCCATGAAGTGTTTACTTTTATGGTGTACCTCTCTGGTGGTGCTAGAATGACCCACTGATCATTACAGCTTTGGTATACACTTTGCCATGTCACTATGACAAGTATGTCACAACTTCTCAAGGTTCAAGATCTCAGGAAAACTAATGTGAAGTCTCTATGCAATTTAAAGTACCTTTTTCCCCCCAAAAATCTGTATATTGGGCAATGTATTAGTTTCCTAGGGCTGCTATAACAAAATACCACAAACTAGAAGGCTTAAGACAACAGATTATTATTCTCTCAAGTTCTGGAGACCAGGGGTCTGAAATCAAGGAGTTGGCAGGACTACACCCACTCCAGAGCTCTGAGGTAGAATCTGTCCCCAGCTGCCTTAGTGAGGTAGCGCTGCTGTAACAACACTATAGACTGGATGGCTTAAACCACACATATTTATTTCTTATATTCTGAAGGTTGGGAAGTCTGAGGTCAAAGCTCTGGAAAATCCAGTATTTGATGAGGGCCCTCTTTCTGTTTTGCAGATAGCCATTATCTTGTATCCTGACATGACCAGCTCTCCTGGGTCTCTCCTTAGAAGGGCACAACTCCTATTCACAAGAGCTCCAGTCTCACAACCAAATCATCTCCAAAGGCCCCTTCTCCTAATGCCATCACTTTGGGGACTGGGCATTAGAATTTCAACAATTAACTTGGGGAGGAGGACACAAAAACTTCAGTCCATGACATGAGGCTCTCTCCTAGCTTTTGGCAGCTGCTGGATATCCTTGAATTCCTTGGCTTGAAGCTATATCACTCTGATTTCTGACCCTGTCTTCTCGTGGCCGGCTTCTCCATGTGCCTTTGTCTCTACATGGCCTTGGAAGGATGTGGGATTTTGGAGTTAGGTCTCACCCTAATCCAGTATGACCTCATCTTGCCTTGATTACATCATCTACAAAGTCCCTATTTCCAAATAAGGTCATATTCACAGGTTTCAATTGGGCATGATTCTTTGGGTGGCAGGGAAAGTAGGAGAGTATTAAATCCTCTACAGATAACAGTAATTTTGGTAGAAAGGTTCACTATCAAGGCAAATATGATGTTGCATGCCCTTCTCCCCAAGAAACAATGTTTTAAAAGATAGAGGGATGACTTTAGTTTTGGAAAGGTCTATGGCAGTGGTTGCATCTGGGTTTCATTGGGGAGCACGGATAGCAATAGTCACTTGTGGAGAACTATGACAAAGGAAAGGTACAAATGGTTGAATAAGCAGCTTGTGAGAGCTACCCTAGCGATGAGGGAGCCAGTTCTTTTCTCAAAGCTGAGTCCTCAGAGGGGTTGTCTCCTACTTGATTTTGCCACATGGCTTGTGAAACAAAAGAGACACAAAAGAGACAGATGACACAATTTTGAGTGGCTAGACTAGAACTACTGCATACATTAATGTTGTACTAGCCTCCATAGGACACAAAATCCTATAGAATTATCCATCTTTAAGCTTCTAAAGTACTTTTGCAAATTCTCCTGGGAGACTCTCATGACTCCCTCCCTGCATTGGGATTATTTTGTTTGTTTGTTTTTCTTCCAAAAGTTGGAGTGGCTGGTTGGAGGCCTGCTCAAATGATGACATAACAGCAGACATAAAACTGAAAGCAACTTAAGGAGAACCTTCATGATATCTCTCAAAAACTGGGCCTTTTACACAAACTTCTAATGCAGCTTCTTCATAATTTATCAACTGAAGTCAATCTTGAGAAAATTTGGACCTGAGGAAAGATGCACTATAAAAGTGAGGCATGAATAGTTAATGATAATACATGTTGTATTTCCTCTCCATTTATTCCTTCTAGTCTTGAGTACTTCTTCCTGGGAATCTTTGATTTTGCTCACCACAGAGTACCTTTTGGAAATATACATATATGTGAATAATAAACATATATATTCATCTCTACTAATCCAATGAGATTATCATGCAATGTTAAATAATAGAGTGACTTCATTAAATAGCATGTATTTCCCATTCAAGTGATTTTACACTTATTTTTGTTATCATCTTTTACCTTCATCGTGCATACGACAGTCCTTCTTCAGTGTCTGCAGGAGATTGATGCCAAGATCTCTACTGATACCAAATCCAAAGATGCTCAAGTGTCTTAAATAAAATGATGTACTATTTGCATATAACCCATGCACATCCTCCCAAACACCTTAAATCATCTCTGGATTACCTGTAACACTTAATACAACATAAATGCTATGCAAATAGTTGTTTTACTGTATTGTTGAAGGAATGATGACAAGAAAATACATCTGTGCCTGTTCAGTACAGATACAATTAAAAAAAATTTAGCTATAGATGAACACAATACTTTTATTTTGTTTTATGCAGTGCTGGGGATCGAACTCGGGGCCTCACTCGTGTTAGGCCAGCACTCTACCACTGAGCTACAACCCCAGCCCCCACAATTGATTTTTTCCTGAATTTTTCCATCCACAGTTGGTTGCATCCATGAATGTGGATCCCACAGATGCAGAGGCCAGCTGTACTTCTTTTCTGAATGTGGCGGATGCTGCCCTGTGCAAATTGAGTCAATGGATATATTTATCCATTCTTTCTAAACGATTTATGCCAGATTTGAATTTTCCTTTAGGTAATTGTTTTCTTCATATCATACTGTGTTACCGCATCTTTATTGCAATTCGCATTGTATGTTCTTTAGTAAGACGTTTGGATTCTTGTGGAAAGTGTTATGTATGTAAATAATGGAAGCAACACCCGCACCATTACTTCACCACTGGGGTGCTGCCACACTACTGTTTTCTTTCTCCTCTTCCCCCCCACCCCAAATCATCATAAGAAAAGTTCTTAGGAATAGAAATGACACAAGTGTCTTAAAGAGTGCTTTATTACTAATTAATGGGGAGTAATAGTCATTTAAAAATTGGCCTCCCTAGCTGACAGCCAACCTGGTTGAACTTCATGACATTTGGTGCTGGCTTAAAACACAGGAGCAGATGTGCCACCCTCCGTATAATTTATGAACTACCATAAATGGAGCATGGCAGGAGGTAAAGTACCAACAGTCTAAGTGAAGTGGTTGTATGTAACCAGAGAAATTATTGAGCTTCTATGCAGAATGGCCTATTATGGCGAAATAAATCAGGCAACAGAAAGTTTTTCTCTTCTTTGGAAAAAGAAACCCAAGAAGTAAGCAGTTATGCAGAACCATTCAGCCTGTTTGTACCATGTAGGATTCTGGACTGTCTTCTTTCTGAAGAGCTCTAAGTCCAGTCTTTGTGATTTCAAGGTCACACAGAAAGAGGCTCTGGAATCCCTGGAGTTGAGAAAGCAGAGGAACAGTGGCCGGCTTTCCCTGGCCTCTGCTGGCCTCTCCCTCTCGGGTAGGAGACATTTTGGGTACAGAGCAGCTGGGACCAGTGCAACTCAGGCTAGTGGGACAGGGGAGGAAGCCAATATGCAGTGGGACAGGAGGGACAAACCTGTCTGCAGAAGCTGGCCGTCCCCCTGAGGCAACCAGGCAGGCCAGTGAGCGGCGGCTGAAAGGCACGACCCACTGGGATCCATCCAGGCGATCGGGATATCTGCATGAGTCCAGTCCACCAGCAGAGCACAGTCCGGGCAGAAGTCCAGGAGAGCCCTCAGAATCAGGCCTCCTTCCAAGCAGTCAGTCCGGTGGCAGCAGGCCCCTTGCCAGGAGCTGCGAAGGAGGAGGAAATCACATCCTGCCTTCCAAGGGAAGGGGGGCAGCTCAAGAGTTTGACAGAGAATCAGGACCCAAGCCAAGGGAGGTGGGGTCTAGGGCAAGGATCCAATCCCTGCAGAGAACTGAAATGCTCCGCAGAGAAACTGAGGCAGCCTGGGAATCACAAGGCTTTGGCTAAAGCATTAAGAGAACACTGAAACTCGGAGTCAATCTGGAGCAATCAGATTTCCAGGTCTCTAGGCAACCAAACCAGTTCTCTCTATTAATAGGGCCAAGGCTGATGACACTGAGCAAGTCTGGCTCAGACTGCTGGGGGCCACTAAGAGCCTGGCCTGCTGCAACATGCTTGTAAAGTGTCTGAGGTCTTGTTCAAATGCAGATTCTGATGGGGAGGACTGAGCTGAGGTCCAGACTCTGAATTCCTAACAGGATCCCTGAGGGTGCAGATGTTTCTGGTTTCTGGAGTAGCTGACTCAAAGAATCACCACTTGCCATGGTTGGCTTGGCCCACCCCATCCCACCTGTCCAACCACACCATTGTCATATTTGACCGTCTTATTTTCTTTTCCTCCTCCTCCATCCCGTTTGTCCTCTTGCACTTATTCTGCAGGATGACCAACAAGAAAGAGCTTATGTTCAGAGAGTAGATGGGGTAAGAAAGCAAAACCCCAAAACATTCCCCCATTGACAGTTGACTTTGCCTGTTTTCTGTTGCCATCACAGAATACCACAGACTGGGTAACTGATAAAGAAGTGAGGTGTGTTTAGCTCACGGTTCTGGAGGCTAGGAAGTCCAAAAGCATGGTGCTGCATCTAGGGAGAGCCTCCCACTGCATCAGAACACGGTGGAAGAAACAGAACAAGTGTACTGGGTGAGATCTTCCTTCTTTTAAAGCCACTGATGCCAACATAGAAACCCTTTTCTCCTGACTTCCCCTAACCCTAATCACTTTCCAAAGATCCCATCTCCAAATACCATGACTGTATGAGTCTGGGAATTAAGTCTTCAAGACATGAATTTTGGGGGACACATTCAAACCATATCATCAACACACAAGAAAATGCTTTTCTGTTTGATAGACACAGTTACTCCAGAGGAGTGTGTCTGTTGTTACCTCATAAAGGGTGTTACAAACGTCTGACTTTTTATCTATCCTTCTTAACAGACTCCAGTGGTTCAGAAATATCTACTGAGGATAAGTCAGAATGGACACACACACACACACACACACACACACATTTGTTCCAGAAATTGAACCCAGGGGCACTTAACTACTGAGCCACATACCCAGCCCTTTTTAACTTATCTTTTGTTTGTTTTGAGACAGTCTCGCAAAGTTGCTTAGGGCCTCACTAAGTTGTTGAGGCTGGTTTTGAACTTGTGGTCCTCTGCCTCCCCTCTGGAGCCCCTGGGATTACAGGTGCGTGCAGTGGCACATATTGATTTAATATCCCTCGTACCTTAAAAGTACGTCTGTGGGTAGAGCTCCCTCTATGCATTTCCCTTTCCAGAATCTAAGGGGCCACAATCCTGGCTAACACTGAAAACTAAGGTAGGACCGGTTACTTAATCTTTCTCGGACAGGTTTGCAATCTACAGAATGACCTGTCCTGGTCCGTTTTGCATTGCCAGGAGAGAATACTGGAAATGGGGTGATTTTTAAGGAAATGTATTTCTTAAAGTTCTAAAGGCTGAGAAGTCCAAGGTCAAGACACAGAGTCTGGTGAAAACCTTCATGAAAGCCGTGTCTTATCATGGGGGAGGGTGTCACATGGGGAGACAGTGGGAGCCTGTCGGCTTAGGTCCCTCTTCCTCTTCTTATAGCACCACCAATACAATGACGGAGACCCTATCACGATGACCTCATCTAGTCTGAATTATTGCCCAAATATTGCCTAAGTATTGCCCCCAGATACCACCAACAAATGAATTTGGGGATTAAGTTTCCAACATGTGAACCTTGGGGGACATATTCAAGCCATGGTGACAGAAACATCCTATCATTATATCCGATGACTTATTGTTAGGAGATATGTGAAGCTGTTTAATGGAATGTCAACTACACTATGAATTCAAACTGCTATTATTTTTTTTTTTAATTTTTATAGGGTGCTAAGGATCAAACCCAGTGTCCCACACATGCTAGCCAGGCGCTCTGCCACCAAACTGCTATTATTAGCCACTGTTGGAAACAGTGCCATTGTGCATTTTTAAATTTTGCACCAAGCCACGTGGGAACATCTGGGCTACCAGAAGCCATTGTGCTCTCCAGATCAAGGGGCTGGGATAATGGTTTCAATCCCCTCCACCAAGCCTCGTCTCACTTTCTAGTCTTCATTCTTCCACCCAATATATGTACTGAGTGGCACATGCCCTGGTGTCTGGAAAGACAGTAGAGACAGGCCCAGGCCTCACGGACCCAGGCCTCCCTGCCCAGAGCTCACAGAGGAGGAGAGCATTTGTGGAAAGGACACTAGTTGGCCTCAGAACAGGGTGACCGTGCTGCGCTGGGTGAAGAAGCAGGTGTCCTGAGCTCTTGTGGGGTCACCATGTAGGCTTGGTTGCTCAGAGAAGGGGACAGGAAGGGTTTTCCAGGCAGAGGGAAGCACCCTGCTGCCAACTCAGAGGCAAGAAAAAGTATTGGAATTACTGTGGGGTTTAAAAAATAATCCCCAGATCAGTGTGAAGATCTGCTTCCTGGTACTGGCTGGGTCAGCTCGGCTTGAGCTTGGCAGGGCATGGGTGCAGTCAGTTTTAGGCTGATCTCCTCCCTGGCCTCAACCCGCCCCCCCCAACCCGGCCACACCCTGCTGACCTTTTGCCCGTCTGTCTGGCCTTTCCTTGTGAAAATAGAGCACTCTGAAGAGATGAAAAGTGTTTTCTTTCTTTCTTTCTCTCTTTTTTCCTTTTGAAGCAGCCGCATTATTAACAGAGAAGGGAAAGTCTCCCATGAGCTACGGCAAAATCCTGTAGATTGGTTTATGAATCAATGTAGCTTAGACTAAAGCAACCTAATTTCCTGAAAGCCACTCCAAGGCTTTAGGCTTCCAGAGAGGCATAAAGCTTGTATGATATTTACTTTTAGTTAAAATTAAATCAAAATGGAAAAAAAAAAACACCAAAGAGGGAGTCTTCTGGGAAGATATATCATTAAGAAAAAATTAAAAAATTAAAGAGGACCACAAAGCAATGTGGACAGAATAAGTAGACGGCATTAAAGAAGGTTGGCAGTTATACACACACCAATGCGTTCAAATCACTCTCTCTCAGGAATTAGGTTTCATGTGATTTTTTTTATATTCTTTTTGTTGTGAAATATACTTTTGGGAAAGTGCATGACATAGAAAGTACAAGTTAACACATCGTAATAAAGTGAACATTCACATAAACAAGAGAGGAAATGCAGCCTGGCCCAGAACCAACACCCCTTCCCACCCACAGCCACACTCGTCTCACGAGGTCACCACTGCCCTCTTATGCTAACCTTTCCTTTGTAGTTTTTCCACCCAAGAATGTATTGATCGGTATTTTATTTTTCTTGCTTTCTAAACTTTCATGGGAGCATGTAGTTTTGGGTCCTTCCTCCTAACTGTGACCATAAGGCTTCTGAGATTGGTCCATGCGGCCGAGAGAACTGTGGCCCTTGCATGCCCAGTGCTGTATGGTGTTCCAAGGCTGGATGCGTGACACTTTATTTATCTACTCTACTTTTGATGGACATTTTGTTATTCTCAGATCGGGGCTATTAGGAACAGAGTGCTATTCTTCGGGTGCTCACAGCATACATTTCTATCGGCGATTGGATGTACATATGTATGTTGGACTTGAGTAGATAGAGCAGTTAACCATGACCAGCAATGGGAGTGCACAGTCCCTGTCACGAACAGGACAGTGTCTGTGGCCCTGCTAGGGGATCTCATGTCATTTTTTTTTTTACTTGAGTTTCTTTGAATTTTGCATTTTTTCTGTACAATAAATATCCATTGGCTTTGATAGGGCAAAATGCTATTTTAACCTTTAAAAAAAAATCATCTCGCCTATTAGGGGCATTGTTTTTAAACTTCCTAATTGAAGTGAATCATTCCTGCAGAAAAGTTGCCCACCACAAGGAGAAGGCGTCCCATATTATCACATAGTGAACACCACTGTGACCACCACCCAGGTCAAGATAGAACTTTCTAGCACCCTAGAAGCCTTTCAATCACAATCCTCTCTCCCTTCCTCAGAGGAAAACTGTTGCACTCATTGGTAGCATGATCATTTGGTATGCTTTTGAATTTCGTACCAATGCAATAATGCAGCATTGTGCTATGGTTGTCTCCTTTGTGCTACCCTACATGGTGGGATTCATCCAAGCTGTTGTGGATACAGTAATGTGTTCATCTCTTTCTCTTGTCACAAGGAAGAAACACTGGCTTCAGGGAACTGAGCCACTCCACACTTCTTTAACTCCTGGAATGCACTGTTCCTCTGTGTAGCCATTTGTATCTTTTCGTCCCCAGCCTAACACGTGGATACTGTGTGCAGAGGTCAGAGTGGCTGTGGAGAGCACATGCGTGCAGCATCCCCAGGCTGCCCTCTGACTTCCTGTATGGTGGCTCCACTTGGAGTCGTCTCCCAGTGATAATGAATTTTCTCTCTCTCCTTGTCTACCTAAAATGCCGAACAGTATCACCCTCAGGTGCCACACAGGTATGTAAAACAGAGTCAACATTGCACTTCACTGGGAAGCTGTTTTGTTTCTGAGCTCATGGGAATCTAAGGGTACAACTGGCATCTGGCCACAGGAAGAGCCCTTGGCTAGAAGCAGGAATGGCTTCAACTGTGTTGGCACAGAATGAAACAGCACATCATGAGCAAGAATCATGGCAGGTCCTTGTGGGAGAGAAGATCCTAAAATCATCCTCCAGAAGGAAAATAAATTCAGTCTTTTGCTTTTTACTCTTCCAGATAAGCAATGTTCAGCCCTTCTACACAAAACAACTGTGTATATCTCACTTTTGTTTCCATTTCAAACAGACTGTCAACTGAATTTGAACTCTTAAAATGGAATCTTGATATCAATCTACATTTTTTTAAAGCAGCCAAACAGGCTCTCAGATGGTCACTCTGAAGGACTGTGTGTGACTATGGGGCAAACATAATTTCTTCCTTTCTTTTTTTTCCCCAAGGCCTTGAGCTGTAATTATTAAAGCTTCAATTGTCCCCAGTGATATTAGCTAGATAATCAAATTTGGATCACAGGAATGAGATAAGCTAAAGTGTGCCTTCATCACTGCTTTGCTGAAAATAACTCACTAAGATCATTCCCCCCAAATCTGCAACAAGACCATGGCAATAGCCAAGACATTTACCAAGAGCATTCAGAATGATCAAATTGATTCTCAAAACAAATAATGTCATGCGGAACCACAGAGGTAAACTTTTCCACTGCAGAAGCAAAAGAAAAATATTGTGGACGTCATGTGCAAAAAATGACACATCACAATTCACAATGCTTAATAGAATTACAAAATTTAGCAGACCTTATTGCTAAACTAGCTATGAGGAGCTTAATGATTAACTTTCTAGAAACCGGGAGAGAAGAACATTTTCAAAATAGCTGGTTGAGAAGAGTTTTATTAATGAGATACATGGGTACCCATTGGGAAAATGGTCTATGAATGTGTAAGTCACTTTGAACAAGAAACATTTCATCTTGTAGAAACTTAAATTTTTTTTTTAGTTGTTGATAGACACAATACCTTTAATCACTTTTTTATATTTATGTGGTGCTGAGAATAGAACCCAGTGCCTCACGTGTACTAAGCGAGTGCTCTACCACTGAGCCACAACCCCAGCCCTCATCTTGTAGACACTTTAACCTTGTGAAATCAAGATTCCATCAATAGAGCAGAATAGAGTGTTTTTGTTATTCTTTTACTAAAAAGACATCATTGCCTTTTCTTCCCACCTACCCTTACTTTCAAAAGAGGCCAGGAGAAGTTTCTAGACCAGGAGGCCCTGGGTGGGAAGAAATGATGTCAGGTTCCTGGTTCTCTTCTGTCAGTGTCTTTCCATTCCAAATGACCAATCTTCAGCTATTTCATGAAATGAGGACCTAACTGTGCCAAATAGCATAGCACCAATATAAATCCCAGACACAACTCACAGGAGTTTAGGACAGACATTAACAAATACAATTTATCTTGCAACCTAACCTATAAAGAATGTCAACCAATTTCCCAGACAGCCCCAGGCCAGCCAGAGACTCCATCATCTGTGTTATATGAGCCCAGGTACAAGGGCGGCCATGACCAAGGTTGCCTCCAATTGGAGTTGGGGTATCACATCAGTGTTCACCACCCATGATGCTGGAGAACAAACACAGAATGGAGAGATGTCTTGGGTTCCAGGAACTGAATTTGCCACTAACTAATTGCTTGATCTTTGCCAATTTCTTGCAACTCTTTATCCCAGATTCTTGTCTAAGAGAAATTGAAATAGACTTTCTAAGGATGCTTCTGGCTCTAATAATACAGGACGGTAAAAGTTGTATTTCCAAACTGTGAGTAAGTAGCAGGCCTCTGTCACTTCGATATTCTGTATCCAATGAGAATTGTCAACGCTTTTCCCCTTTTCTTGATGTAGTGGGAGGTGGCATTGTGAAGGGGAGCCTAACACATTCCTGGTAACAGTCTCCGGTCACCTACCTAATCCAATAGAGTCAATTAGTGCTGCGTGCATCCTACTTCTGAAAGCTCCTTGCTGAGCAGTCTGTGATCATATTTGCTCCTTTTTCTGCTGTTGGAATTCCTACAATATTCTCTGGGAACATTTTTACCCAAACTTAAATTCTGAGGAAGAGTCCATAAGTTTTGGGCTGCCACCTGTGTTTTGTGATGATCCCCAGGGGACTAGGGACTCTGAAATAAATGGACATGAGTCCCTTTGACCTTTAGAGTTCTCATAGAGATAGTGTCGACATTTAATAATTGTCACTGGAGCTTGGAGGACAATTTCCAAAAGTCTGTTTCAAAACATCACCAGTGACACCTGACACGAGAGAATTTCCCTGCACCCAGACTGCTAGCAGCTGGCACCCAGAGTCGCCACAGCCCGGGAGCAGATCCAGTCCATCCTACTATGAACCCTTCCTGTTTTGTCAGCGAGCATGATTTCCTCAATCTCAAATTGCAGCAGAACTGTTCTGCAATTCCATTGCTAGCTATTTCGGGAGCCTCACACAGCAGGACAAATGTGCCCAAGTCCACACAGTATGACAGAAGAATTAAAAATGTATTTACCATCTGTTGGTAGTTTCCTTGCGGGGCTCTTTTCTTTTCCTCTCCTGTAGCCACAAATAGGGTCTTCTCACTTCCTTCCAACTTCAGAGAGCTCGGTTCTCTTCACATCTCTGGGAATGTAGGGCTTGCTTTTTTTTTTCTCTCCCCCACCTACAAATTTCCCAAACTGTTGAACTCTGGAGCTATTTCAGCCCTAGGATCATTTTCCCTTACATATATGGAGGAGTCTGCGAAAAGCTTCTAGGGTTTTGGACTTTGATGTGGCCAGATGACTTTTTAGGTCCTATATTTGGGTTCTAGTACCAGAAGACTCAGGAAGTTTGGGGATGAGACAAGAAGAAGAAAGACAGAAGAAGAGCAAAGCCTAATGAAAAGGAATTAAGTCCTTAAATTAGTCTTTGGAATTCACGTTGGCCCTTTATAATCTGCTAGTCCTTATTACAGGGGGACGTTCCAGAGGAGAGGCCATTTTTCTACTCGGGAAGAGTCTTAGAAAGCCAGGTGTGGTGATGAGCCTGGATTCCCAGGGACTCAGGAGGCTGCAGCAGGAGGATCACAAGTTCAAGGTCAGCCTTGGCATCTGAAGGAGACCCTCAGCAACTTAAAAGACCCTGTCCTGAAATGAAAATAAAAAGATCTGGGATGTAGCTAGCTTGGCTAAAGATCATAACCTGGAACACAGTTTTGTTATTTGGGAAACCACTTAGGTGGATCTGGAGGAATATTTAATCCTCAGTGAGAACTGCTTTAATTTTTGAGATACATGTATTATTCACTTGAAAATGGAACCTAAAATACAGAGATTGATAGACTAAAAATGGTCCTTGGGGTTAGGACCCTCACTGTCCTAGTTCATTCAGGCAATGACTTGTTAAAACTTCTAGGCTGTTAAACTATTTCTGGGTGACTTTGAACCTTGAGCAGGGCTCTTCACTACAAGTCTCGGTTTCATCCACTAAGAAATGGGAATCATGACGTCTACCTCCCTGTATCATTGGGTTACACCACTGCAAAGTGGTGAAATGACAGCTGCAAATATTGTACCACAATGCAGGGCACAGAATCAGGGCTTGGTGAGTAGTAGCTGTTACAAACTATCATTCTTAGAAACTAAAGTTGAGCTACTTTCTGTTTTTCTCAAAACTTACTGTGAGCCTCATATACTGTCTTGGATTCTGGTTTTGAATTTTGCTTTTTAAAAAGGCCCTTATAAATTTGAGCCTTGATGTGAGACCTCACTCATTCTTAGCTTTAAGAGTCATATCCAATATGATTAGGTCAAAGAACAAGTGAATAGGATATGTGTCAAGGCTTGGACAAGGTGGATTTGCTTTGAATCAGCTTCTAGTGAGCTGATCATTGTGTGCAGGCTGATCAGGCTTTGCACATAGTAGGCCCTAGAAAAATCTTACTGACATTCATTGATTCATTTCATAGTCAATGGCTAGTTAGCGAGTGTCTATCATGTGCTAAGAACTTTCCTAGATGATTGATGCTGACAAAAATCCTTCCTGACAAGAAACAACCAACCACAAAAAAGGTACATGGCATTGAATATTACAAGGTAGTACATTTCTGGAATAAATGAGCAGGGCAAGGTGGATCAGCAGAGTCAGAGGGTACAGTTTTAAGTAAGTGGTCACAGCAGGTCTCACTGAGAGTTTACTGCTTAGAAGAAAGACTGGGAACAGTGAAGGAGAGACCCATGTGGATGTCTAAGGGAAAAACATTCCTAGAAGAAGAAACAGGAGAAAGGTCCTGAAGCAAGAGAGCACCTGGCTTGTTTAACACCAGCAAAGGGCACAGTGAGGCCGGAGGTGTGGGAGCCCCAGAGAGTTCCTAAGGCTGAAAGGTGTGCTGGCCATGTGAGGCATGGTGGACCAGAGAAGGGCTTTGACTCAACTGCAAGTACAACCTGGGGGAAGGTTCTGAGCAGGGCTGTCCATCACTTGATGCATACAATAGACAGGTGAGGGTGACCACAGAGAGACAGTTTAAGAGGTCATGGCCACAATCCCTATGGAGGACGGTGGTGAGGAATGGCCAGAACCCAGATGTACTTTAAAGACGGAACCGACTGGATTGTTGGGCAGACTGGATGTGGGGTCTGAGGGAGAGGAGTCGTGATGGCCCCAAGGAGTTTTGGCCTGAACACTTGGAAGGACAGAGTTGACCTTCATGAGATGTGTATGGGAAAGCTCTGGGGAGCGCCTCATGGAGACTCCAACAGAAGGGATCCGTGGGGATTCTGGGCTTGAGTGGAAGGCCGCCTTCTGCCCGCTGGGGAGAACCTCTGAGACAAGCGAGCTTGCAGTTGTTTTTTGAAACACAAGAATCAGACAAGACCCTGGTTTTCCTGAGCACAAAGGTGAAAACCCGCCCTTGGCCAGATCTGGAGAAATCAAAGGGCTGAATGTCTTTTAAATTCCTCTATCCTGAATGCACGAATGAGATCTGCTCAAATGAATACACACACACACACACACACACACACACACACACACACATATATATATATATATATATATATATATATATATTTTTTTTTTTTTTTTTTTTTTAGGCAGACAGTTTCTTGGTTGCACTTGCTGGGCGCCAAACAGCCTCTTCCCCTTGACTCCACACACTGCCACAGGGCTTCTGAGGGGGAGAGCTGCTGTGCGTCCTGGCGCCCAGCAGAGGGAGCTGCAGAGGCCCACCGGAGACCTTTGAGCTGAGGCCTGGCCTGCTGCCCGCCCAGAAGCCTACTTGAGCTCTCTCAGACCTCTTCCAACAGCCTCTGTGTCTGGGGCCAGAGCCAGACGTTGTTTCTGGAATGATGGGGACGCAACTCTAGAACTCTCCACATAGCTCTCCTATTCCAGTGGGTCTTTTGTTTCCTGATATTGTCATGGGGGCAAGACCAAATCCACACTCAGAACAGATGACCTATGCGTATCCAAAGAGCCAAGAGGTAGGGCTCCCTAGGTAAGTAGAGAAGAAAGAAAAATTGCAGCAGATCTACAATCATGGGTCTCATTAGGAGAGTATTTTCATTTTCTAGGGCCATTATAACAAATGTTCACAAGCAGGGTGACTTAAAGAAAAAGAAATTTACTCTCGCCTTGTTCTGGAGGTCAGAAGTCTGAAATTGAGGTGTCATTAGGGTCTCTCTCTCTGAAGGACCCAGGGAAGAAGTCTTCCTTCCTCTCCCAGCTTCTGGTATCTGTTGGCCATGTAACTACAGTAACTTCACGTGGCCCCTTGCCTGTGCCTCCTCTGTTTTGGTGTCTCCTTACAAAGACATACTAGATTTAGGATCCACCTGAAAACAAGAAGATCTCTCTTAATAAAGTTAAATCTACAAAAACCACACTCCCAAATAAAGTCGCGTTCCCAAATACTGGGGATAGGACTTCCATGCACCTACTTGGCAGACTCAATTCAACTCGCCTGCTGGCATTGTAAGCCAAGGTCGAATGGGTTTGGGAGTAACGGGAAGTATTCAGATAAGAGACGCTCACTCAGGAGACTCTCTCCATCTGTGCTTATGGCCCTCAGTTTTTTTTTTTTCAGTGAGAGGTTTTAAAAAAATATTGTATAAATAAAAAGAATAAGAAAATAGCACTTCTCTGACTCACACATTGGGCAGAACCACAGACTCTTGTGATCATCAAGAAAGACTTCACAGAAGTGTTGGTGCCTGAGCCGGATCTAAAGTCTGAGGGTAAAATCTCCATGTAAAGACCGGGTGAGGGAGAGAAGAAAAAGACAGGGCTTTCCAAGTGTAGAGAAAGAAGGACATGCAAAGCTGGGGGGTGGGGCGGCGGGGTGGGGGGGGGGGGACAACCTTTACCTCTTTAAGGAGGGCATCAAGTCTTTAAGGCCCACACTTTCCACTGAATCTGCATGGCTCAGATGTCCTATTAGAAAATGAAGAGGCAAAAATATCTCTGGTTTAATAAGTGCACAAATAAGCGCCCAATCACTCCAGGAGCGTATATCTGGAGGAGTTAATTATTGGACACATTTGCCAAAGCACAAATATGGAAACCCCACCCTCGGCCAGTTCTGGAGAAATCAAAGGGCTGAATGTGGTATAAATTCCTCTGCCCTGATTGCATACGGAGATCTGCCAACATTTTTTTCTCTGATATATTCCTTTCTGCACAAAGGGCCAAACTGGGTTCTTAAAAACCTGATCATGAACTGAGATATGCAATTCTGAATCATCACCATGATCTAGGAAAATTAACTCCTTGCTGATCTGCCCAGAGAAGCACCCAAGCCTGTTGCCTCCGAGCCTGCACCAGGGTCTGGCGAGGCTTCTGTCACAGAACAACTCCCTTTTTTTTTTTGGCATAAGAACCTACAGGATGCCAGCAGAGTTCAGGCTGGGTCATCTCAGTCTCTTTAAAGGCATGGTGATTCATTGCTGGGGTGGGGGAGAGGGTAGCGGAGGAGAAAGGAAGTGCTGAGCAGAGGGGCGGAGCCATGCAGTTATGAAATTGACTGCAGGAAAAGCTGCCCCTGGGAGTCATGGGGTCACATGCTCCTACTATTGGTATTTAAGCTCCAGCTTTTAAGCCAGAGCTGGGGTAGGGGTGGGAAACAGATCGCTTGATCTGATTGCCTGTCAGAGTCCACACATCCATGCCTTGTGTATTTATTACAATGACAGTGTACTAATTTCTCTTAATATCTGACCAATAAGGAAAACTCTCCCGTGACAGTACAGTTTGCAGAATAAAAATTTGGCTGGAGTGGCGTGAGGGAGTGATTTGTCTTCTTCTACTTGATTTACTGGCATTCTAGCTGACAGGGTCCTCCATTCTGTGCATTCATTTTGTACTTAAAAAGGGGTCGTTTGTCATTTACAGTTTAAGTGTGAGTACTATTATTCTGCTCTGGCAGAAGGCATCTGTGGCAGTAGCTAGCGTTTCATGTCTGTGCTGCAAAAGCAAAGCAAAATCAGTATCTTTGGTCCTCAGCCGTGAAGCTTCCCAATCCTCCCTGCAGTTAAACTTTGTGGAGACCTGATGGGAAGGTTCTGCAAATACCAGACTGCCTGTGGCTCCGCCCTGAAATCCTAACATGGGCACTTTCCTGGGAACTCTAGTTATTCATGTCAAAAAGGCAAAGTTTACCCAGGCATTTTTCTCCAACTCTTCCTCTTTGGGGCAAACTTAGTAAATTCCTCGTAAAATGATGTTCTTAAACTCTGACCTTCATTTGGATTAGCTTCTCATGGCTAATATTTACTTAAGAAAAATAAAGTAGCAAAGAGAGCTTACAGCCCTCTATTTCCACGTCATGAAGTTAGAAACATGTAGAATGTTGCTTCCCGCCTTGAATGAAGATTTAGTGTTTATTTCTGTACTCTGTTGTTGCCCATGATTCTCTCTTGGAGGCGCCCAACACTTAGTGCATATACAGCCCATCAACCACCACTACCTTAAGTTCAAACAATGGTGGCTTTTGGCTTTGATTTTAATTTACGAAATGTATTTCTTTTGAGGAAACAAAATGCCAAGTTGTTAATGAAATGCTTTATATAGATTTTCAAATGCTCCCGGCCAGTAGCAAAATTCAACTCTCCCATTCTAAAGCTTAAAGTGTGGTTGGTTTTCGTGTAGGAAGAACTGTATTCTTTAGATGATTAAGGTCATAAATTATGATATTTTATAGGCCACGGCCTGATATTCAGTCTTGGTTAGAGATTCATGATGAAAATTTATCTAGATCTTGCTTGCAAAATAAATAATGGTAAAAAATCAACTCATTTCCTTTCAAAGAATCCCATTGTACTAAATAAATTATACATTTTTTTTTAAAAAAAAAGGGAAAATAAAATAGATTTCCTTTTAATGGCCTGGATGCATTTTCTAGTTAAGCAGCGAATTATATAATTTTCTTTTTTTTTTTTTTAAAGAGAGAGTGAGAGAGATAGAGGTAGAGAGAGAGAGAATTTTTTAATATTTATTTTTTTAGTACTTGGCGGACACAACATCTTTGTTTGTATGTGGTGCTGAGGATCGAACCCGGGCCGCACGCATGCCAGGTGAGCGCGCTACCGCTTGAGCCACATCCCAGCCCCGAATTATATAATTTTCATTATCAATGTCCAAAGCCATCTGTCACTAGAAGGTATCAGCCCCAAACCATTTAGCCACAAGCAGCCAAGCCAGCTATAATGCTAGAATGCTTGGGCTTCCTAAAACAGATAGGTTTTGCATCTGCCTCCCAGGGGTTCAAAGTACCTGAGCCCTCTCATAAAGACTGAGCCACAGATGAGCTTGAAAATTTTTGTTCTATTTTTATGAGCCCATCTCCCATCCCCCAATGGATAGATTGTGCATTTACCCACAGTGAACCTTCAGTGATTGTTATAAGGGGAGATAAGCACCACATTACACAGGTTATTGGTGCACAGAAAAGTAGAAAAAATAACTAAGTTATCTATGCACTACTGCAGAGAGCCATGCTAGGATTCTAAAGTCTTCAACTATGGATATTTAGAGCTAATTCCTGTGTCTCCTCAGACCCATTATCTATACCAGTGCTGTCCGTTAGAATTATACATGAACATACCACAATGAATTCCACTTTTATATATAATTATAAGGCACTGATTAAAAAAATAATAGCAGAAGGGAAATCAGTAGAGCAGAAGAATGGGACGAGATTGATCAAATTATGTACATGTATGAATATGGCACAATGAATCTCATGATTATGCATAATTATAATGCACCAATAAAAACGTAAGAAAAGAAATATATACAGGGACTCATGGTATAGCTCAGTGGTAGAGTATTTGCCTAGAATCCATGAGGCCCTGGGTTTGATCCCCAGCACCTGAAAAGAAAAAAAAAATACACAATTATTCCGTATGCATGGTGTTAAATTTTATAGGAGCCACATTCATAAAGGTTCAAAGAAACAGGTAAGATGAATTTTAACAATATGTTTTATTAATTCTAACATATGCTGAATAGTTTCATTTCAACAATCAATATAAAAATTGAGATATTATGTGTATATATACACGTATGTGTCTCTGTGTCTCTCCAAGTCTTTAAAATTTGAGGCATATTTCATATTTACAGTGCATCTCAATTTGGACTAACCATATTTCAGGTGTTCAAGGGCCACACTGGACCATTGGACAGTGCAGATGTAGATTGAACTACCTGTTTCTGTTTTACATTGCTGACAGGGTGTTGTCTGAAACAGCTGAATGTGTGTACTGTTAAATCAAAATAAGCTGTTGGCAGATGCTGGAATGCAAAGACTTTCTTTCCACTCTTGACTATTGGTGATGTCATTTTTATGACCAGGAAGCCCTTCTTCTACAGTTTGGTCGAGGGTCAAGAAAGATGATTCAGAAACATGCATGAGACAGTATTGGGCCTGGATGTGTGTGGAGCCCAGGGACTTGAGCCTGGGTGTGGCCAGCTGAGCTCAGAGTCTATTGTGTGAATGGTTTTTCACTTTTCTTTTTAGTTTGTTTTACTTTTCTGGTCTCCCTAGGTTTATTGGAAGTGCAGTCTAAGGAAAGAGTATTTGTTTTGCAAGCACACTATGGTTTGCTCAGGTTTTTAAATGACACACATTAGATTACACCCTCCTTCTAATAGAAGAGTGAAAGTTCTGCCAGTCTTTCCACTAAAAATTCAAACTTTCTGGGATTCATTACACTGCCATAACAAATTGCTCCAGGCAGAAACTTGGCAAATGGATCCCAAAGTGTGGGAGGAAATTCGTTTTAACAATTTTTAAATGATAAAAATAAATAAATGTTTGCCACTGTAATTTATGTGATTTGTTTTTTGATAGAGGGGGCATTCAGATAAAAATGCACATTTTTATCTTCACATTTTGTTTGTCTTACAAATTTGAAATATTAGCATTAGCTTGTAAGTCAAGTCTTGCTCAAGAGTTAGACCATTGCCTGCTGCCTCCCAAATTTTTGATGATGCTAGTATTTAATTCTCGTATTTGGAACTCTGTTTGATCCGATCCTGAAAAGCAATACATCAATCAACTTTGATTTTTGTGTTTCACCATGGTAAAAATTAACGTTTTTTTAAAAGATTAGATTTTTTTTTCTTCTTTGTACTCCTTGCAAGTTAAGATATCTTATTTAATGTTGTGATCTCAGGCCTACTTACTGTTGATATGCAATAAGTAACTGATGATAAAGGAATGATAAATACATAAAAAAGCAATTTAAGACATCATTTATATTCTTAATCTCATTGAAATAGTTATTAAATATCTACTATATAGGAACTTTTAAAGCATGTTAGAGGCTAAAGATCCCCTAATATGCTTTGTCAATGGTAAAAAGATGAAACATGTTGGGGAATCTTTACCCTTTATGATTCCCTCCACTTGCAAACACCTTGGGATTATTGGAACAACTCAATGACTCCATGTTAGGAAAGTAGAATCTGAACCCATACTTTTTTTGAGGCCTGGATTGTAATATGTGTCTTCTCCACCTCCATGAAGTTTTAAAGATGCAATAAGGAAGAGCTGTAAAAAGTGTAAAATGCTACATAAATACAATTGAAACATAAATTCTCACTACTGTAAGCATTAAGAACAAATGCCCTAAAGTTTGTAAAAAGTGCACAAACTTTCACCCCCATGTTTGGCTTCTGTTTAATTTATCTAATGCAGTGTTGGGGGGACTGACTCCATTTCCAGATACACTCTTCTTAGAGTTGCCTTATTTTTAATTTTTGACTAGAGAAAAGCCAAGGTATCTTTTCTAAACATGACTTTTGAAGTCCTTTTAAGAATTCAAGCCTAAAACTCTTAATATCTTTATTTTATTTAACTTACAATCTGTTCGATTATTTAGTTGTTATAAACTGGTAAGCTATTTGAATTTGCTTGTTTGTTTTGTTTTATTTTGCTTTGTTTTGAACTATATAACATGCTACCTTCCATGAAAACATACACAACAATTTAAAATCTGTAGCGATTTGAAAAGGGCCTGGTTTCATTGAGAACTCTTGTGCTCCCTCTGCTGCTGTGAAAAAAAATGTTCCTGTTCAAGACCCCAGCAAGCTACTTGGCAGTTTCCTTTGGCAATGATGATGTGTACATGTGCATGAATCAGGGCCCTTTTGGAATACCGTCCTATTTCTACAAAGCATATATAGTCATCCCTTGGCTGGGAGGATGGGTTCCAGGACCCCTCTTCAATTCCTGAATTCTGGGATGTTCAAGTTTCTTATATAAAATCACACAGTATTTATATGCAACCTTAGCATGTCCTTCTATGACTACAGATCATCTCTGGATTATTTATAATATTGGACACAATGTCAATGCAATGTAATAATGGTTACACTGTCTTGTTCAGGGATTAATGACAAGGAAAAAAAAAGTCTGAACCTGTTCAGTACATTTTTTTTTCTTTCACCCCCAGTTGGTTGAGACTGAGGTTGCAATGATTTGACTAATGTGATTTTTTTTAAAAATAAGAAAACTTAATTTTAAAAATTAATTAATAAAAAAGGGGAAAAATAGATGTAGTAAGTTATGCATCTATGGCCAAATTAATCTAGACAGAGCCCTGTAGTATAAGCCAATGTTCTTCTCAGAATTCCCTTGGGAGGCTGGCTGAAAGGTAGATTCTGATTTCACAGGCCTGGTGGGGGGAACCCTTAATTCTGAAAATCTAAAAAATCTTTCAGATATTGGTGCCCCAGCTGCTAATCTGAGTACTGCCTGTTAAAAAGTAAGTGTGTAACATAAAATAATATATTCTAATACATACTTGTTGGCCCCTTTTAAACCTTCAAAAGTAGATATTCACAAAATAGATAAAAGGGATTAAAATTATTTTCCATGTTGTTTAAGCCATCTAAAACACAGGGAGGAGGAAGGCCCCAAAGACCTCATCCCCCAATTTCCTTTCCTTTCAAAGGCTGGTTTATCCTAGTATGTACTTAAGGTCAGGTTTCTGAGAAGACTGTCTTACTACATGGTAAGATAATCTTTCTTCTCACAGTAAGAAATAGTTATAGATTTTAATGACAGTTTATGGCTTTAATCTTAATGGCTAAGAAAGCAAATGTCATAATTCTTATTAATTGTTGTTACTGTTTGGGTAATATACATATTTGGCTTCCTTGAGGGAACATTTAAATTAATTGACTAACTCTAATCTGAATTATGTGTTTTAATATGTTTAAGGTTGTTAAAATAACATAAATTAACTGCGTGTGCCAATGTAATAATTACAATATTAGCTTTTATTCCCCTGAAAATTCTCTAAATGTAAGATGTCTAAAAATAGAGTGGAGGTGGATTGGACAGTTTGCAGATTATGAGTTGGAATAAAAACATCTCAGAGAAGCCAAAAACATGGCAACCAATATTTTCTGTTATAAAAATATTTTAGATGAATTTGAGGGTTTTTTTTTTATGAAAGCTGTCTGAAACTCAAACGAATAGCAGAAGCTCTGTTTATTCACAGGCCGGCAATAATAATAATACCTGCCGCACAACCCATACCTCTTCTATGCTGAGTCAACAAGCTTCTATTCCTTTCAGAAGTGGCAAAGCCCAAGGAGGGGGGTGGTGGTGTATTACCCGGTTTTGTTCTGAACTATTAACCTTCACCTTGATAAAGCAAGTCAACGAAAACAAAACCAGGCAGAGCCTTTACGGGAAACTGATGTTAACCGTCCACTAGAGGCTGTAATGAGACCAACAATGTCATTTTAGCAGAACCCGAGGTTTAAACCTAACAATCACTGATTTTTTTTAAAATTAAAAAAAGAAAGTTGTAGAAACGAGGGAGAGCGAGCAGTAGTAGTTCTATTGAAGTAGCCATGTATATGTGCATGGCGTTCCAAAATGTGAGAAGCAACATTTCCGGGGTTCTACACCTTCCTCATTAGTATGCTTATTTTTATTTCTGAAGCGCATTGGCTCATAACACTACAGAGTTGTTTAAAAGCTGACACATTTCTCTTACTGATTCTGTATCCTGCTTCAGTTGGTGACTAACTGTTAGGTCATAAGCAGACTCAGCCAAAAGGTCTCTCCAATACAGCTTACAGTCAATAGTGGCGGCTTCCCGAGAGAAACGGAGGGATCAGGTTTCTAGACGCTTGGTTCTAAGCACCTGAAGGAGGTCAAATGCTGCCCTGACACCTACTGGCCTTCCAGAACTATCTGCAGCAGAGAGAATGCCACACTGAGCGACCCTAGTAGGGATGTGTCCTCTTTTCCTCCAGGTGCCACACCTGTTGGCAAGGTGCATTCCAAAGAGGATTGCAGCTCACGCCTAGGCGGTTGGACTGACACAGGGGGCGGGGTGGAGGGGGAGTTATGGACCACATTTAGCAATTGAGGCCAGAGAAGTTCTGCGTGGATTCACGAAAACTGCCATTTAATGCTCGGTTTACTTTCTCTATCTCTTACACGGGTTACCTCACTTCCGATTAAATTAATGATCCCGAATTAGCTGCTAGAGGAGCGCGCGAGTCGTCAAGCCCACTAGTTCAATGCCCAAAGCAGATTTTCGGACCTGCAGAAAGAAAGAAGGAGAGTCGGGAGGTCACCAGCTTTCACAGGCAGGAGAGGTGAGGATGCGTGTGCAATCGGGGGTGGGGGACCCTTAAAAGTTTCCCGAGTTGCACTCTAAAGCAATCACCGCGGACCCGAGGTCTGGATTCCCCAAAGCCGAAGCCACGCCGGTTTGAGGGTTAACTTCCAGCTGACGATCAGAGTAAGCCCGCTTAGACGCTTCTGAGAACGCCCGGGAGCGAGGGCGCGTTGGGATTAGAATTAGCCGTCTTCCCCTCCCCCTTGGGTATTTCACTGGCTCGGAGCTGAAGGCTGACACCCATTGGGGGAGTCCCCCAGTTTGCCTGAGTTGCACCCGCTGTCACTTGGTCCCCTCCAACTAGGTGCAGGCACCTGGGAGGCGCGTGAGCACCGGTCACCGCTCAAATTACCTCATCTCCCCAGTTCCCCGCCCCTTTCTCAAACCTGGAAGGAACGTCTCCTCGGGTCGGGTCTCCCCTCCCGCTCCCGGCTCCCCAGCGGCTCTGGAACCGGCGCCGGCCTCCCCGGGGTCCGCCTCCCGGGGCCGCGCGCAGCGAAGGGTTAAGGGCGCGGGCCGGCCGCCGCGCCGTGCGCTCGCCGTGCTCTGTGCGGCTCGCCGGGCCGCCTGCCAGAGGGTGCCCCCACCCCCCCATGAAGTCGGATCCTTGAGCTGCGGCGGCGGCAGCCAACTGCTCCATATTTGGCTTCTATTACACATTTACATACTGGAGCGAGCGAGCAAGCGAGCGCGAGAGAGCGCGAGGGAGGGAGGGCGGGCGCAGGGAGGAGGGAGGGGAGGGGAGCGGGAGGAGGGGGAGGAGGAGGAGGAGAGAGCAGAGTATACCGCAGACATCATTTCTACTACAGTGGCGGAGCCGTACAGGACCTGTTTCACTGCAGGGGGATCCAAAACAAGCCCCGTGGAGCAGCCGCCAGAGCGACAGCAGCCGCAAGACATTGTTTCTCTCCCTCTGTCCCCCCTTCCCCACGCAACCCCAGATCTATTTACACTTTACAGTAAGTGGCTATTTTTTTTTCCTCCTCTGATTCTTTCTCTACCCCTCCCCCTCTCCCCTTATTTAGATTAAAATCACCCCCCACCCCGCTCTCCCGAGAGGGGCAAAAGCAACAACCAGCAAACAAACCCCAAATCCCAATCGGCTGCACGGAAAACAGCTGGAAGAGGAGCGAAGGAAACCGACGCGTCGTGTTGTGTGTGTGTGTGTGTGTGTGTGTGTACATACAACAGTCCCCGGCTTCAGCCTCCCGGGCCGATGCCCCACTCTGGGAGCAGGGACGGCCAGCAGGGGGGCTGCCAAGGCCCGGGTGGGCGCCCGTCGGGCGAGGGGGCGCGCCCGGGCGGGGGGCGCGGACAGGAGAGCAGCGGCGGCGCCCCTCTCCGGCGACTGCCGGTCCGGCCGCGAGCGCGGAGAGCCATGTCCTCCTCCCTCCCGGTGGCGCAGGGGGAGGAGGCGGCGGCCGGGGGTCGCCCTGTCCCCTTCGCGTTCCCCCTCCCCGGTGGGGGCGGTGAGAGCCACTGGGACTCGGGGAGGGCTGGACTTCCCTGCGGGTGGTCACCTGGCCCCGGCGCCCCGGGCCGGGGTCTTTGCGCGGAGGCCGGCCTCCCCGGGTTTTCGGCAGCCGAGGGGACTGAGCCGGCAATCCGACCGGGACTTTGCGCTCGGTGATGCCAGGCTTGGGACACAGAGGGGCAGCCGCGCGGGGGGAAGGGGTGTGCGAGTGCCGGAGCGCGGCAGGAGGGGCAGTGGCGGCCCTGGCTGCCGCCGCCACCGCCGCCCTGTTGGTGCTGCCGCTTCCTGATCATGTGCAGCCGCCGCCGCCGCCCGGAGCTGGGAGCCCGCGAGCGCCCCAGCCCGGGCGGGCGCCCCCGCCAGCGCCCGAGGCAGGAGCAGAGGAGCCGCGGCAGGCGCTGGCCTCACCGGGAGTGAACGGCTGCGCGGCAACTGGAAGGGTGAATGAAGCCAGGAGGAGGGGAAGGAGGAGGCGGCGGCGGAGGAGGAGGCGCTGCGGGGATTGGGATGCGCCCTGGAGCCCCGCTGCTCCTTCTCTCCGGGCCAGCCGGAGACTCCGCCACTCCCGCCGCCGCCGCCGCCTCCTACGTGGTTCCAGCCGAGCGCGCAGGCCGGTCCCGCAGGGGGCAGGGACCCGGGCCGGACGGGCGGAGCGAGAGGTGAGGCGGTGTCTGAGCGCGGCGTGAGTGTGTGAGTGAGTGCGCGTGTGTGTGCTCGCGTGTGTGTGTGTGTGCGCGCGCGCGCGCCGGGGCGGGGGGCGAGGGCCATCGCGACGTGGAGGGGTCCCTCGGTGGCCACTTGGACAGTGCAGCGCCTCGATCTCCTCTTTAGCCCCCCCGCCCTCAGGCCGCCTTCTTAAACTCTGTGGCTTGTGCTTTCATTTTATTGCAGACCACGTAGGGGGCTGACTGGAAGCGATGAAACAATTCAGGTTTTCTAGGGTGGTTGAGCAAGAACCTTAATGGGGGGTGGAAGGAGGGTGGGGATCAAGACTGCCAGAAAAACAACAAAACAAAACAGAAAATCAGTTTCTAAGACCGTGGGGTTCGGTTCGATCCCGTGGCTGCTGTTTTGTTTTGCTTTCTCGGTATATAATCCTACAGATAAGAGGGTAATATAAATACTTGGGAAGATTGGGAAATTACTGAAGAGTAGTAAGGGCGGAGGGGGTAAAAAAAAAAAGCCAGTCGGAAGCCGGTTATATAATGCGCGATGTGGCTAACAAGAACGGCAAGCTATTTTTATTTTGTTTACCGTATGTTGTGCAGTAGGGACTCCTCCAAACTGGTTCTGTCCCCGAAGAGATTCTTAGCTTCCCTGAGAGATCCACAGGATACAATTAGCAAAATTAGAAGACCCTATTACACCCACAGAATAAAAACTAATGCTTTAGAGTGGCATTCTCCGTTCACATCCTGTCGTGCATGCATGGGAATGTGTGTATGCAAATAAGTTCTCCCTTGGCAATCTAGTAGTCACATCTCAATGACATTTGTGTTTTATAATGCAGTCTGTTCTTAATATTTAAACATCATCGTTATATATTGCACACAGCAGTGGGTAGTTACTTGCTGGCTATTTTTAGGCAGAATGGGTTACTTTTTCAACAATGTTAGCTAAGTCACTTGTGTTTGGGTTTCTGAAAGGACTTGCAGTTCTTAGAAGACCCTGTTAAACCCACCCTCTGGTTTATTTGAGGGTAAAGGGAGTTTTATACCTAAGTTTTTTTTTGTTTGTTTGTTTGTTTTTTTTTTGGAATGAAGCTATGGGGAAGCCAAGGGAGAGGTGGAAGAGAAAATCCAACACAGGAACTCTTGGAAAGGGATTGCACATTACTGCTAATGCAGTGGCATTTAATCTCCTCTGACTGTCCTCTAACTGTGCATGCATCAGTCAATATTTTAGCAGCTCTGCAAATAAATGGGCTTGAATGCCACCTTCCACATAAAGCAGAGGTGGAAGGGCTCCCCTGAACCTCCTGCCTGCCTTACTCATCATGCATGTAGGTGTCAGTGGTGTAGGTTTTCCCTGCACTTACTCCAGCCCTGATCACTCATGTAATTAGATCAGGCTGCCATGGCAACAGACAGTGTTCCTCGTCCATTCAGGTGGGTTTGCCTGAACTACTCCAAGTGTTTTATGCACAGCATTTATGCTGCCCAAGCCAGATGAGAGACTTCACTATTTCAATGGCATCTTCTTTCAGTCATTCGGACGGCAGACACTGAATGAGGCTTCTACTCAACTTTTATGAAGGATACCAACAAGCTGTTCTTACTGGGTACAGTATGTAAATGCATCTCCCCAGACAGTGAAAGGAGCCTGACAATCCTGCTGGTGTTTATTGTGAACAGATCAACAAGTATTTGGTACTTGTTAGAAACCTTTCAGAGCTTACTAAAGCAACATTTCTTTTGCAGTCTAGTGCCTTGGGCCTTCCAGGCCCTTAACCCTTTCAAGTGTGAAGAACACCCATCCTTTGGAACCCAGATGCCTATAGTGCTGGCTGGCTTTCTAAAGGTTTTATTTGGGGGATGTAACATATTTGGAATAAGTATATCCCTCTTGTTACATCTTAAAATTTTATAGCCATTATTAAAAAAGTGGTACTGACAGTAAGCAGGCAGGCTGAATGTATTCATTCTTCCTTTGGATTTGTTGGCTGTGAACCTTAATAGTAATTTAAAAATAATTATTTTCTCAGTTGAGAGAAAGACAATAGAAGCCTACAGCCGGTTGACTGACAATGTGTGGTGCTTTTACACATAAACAACTTGCACTCTATTTTTGGATATAATTTAATGAGCAGAATTCTGGTCTTTGCATTAGGTCACCCCCTTTTAAAGACTGCTAAACCAAGAAAAATAATAATATGGAAAAAAAAAGAAAAGTGGCATTAGTTGTTGAAGCTCTGTGCTGTTCAGGCAGCCCAAATAAGGAGGAATATTTTAATAACCGTAATATTTGAAAGAAACAATAATTGAGAATAATAGTGTGATGATTTAATGGTGACTCTGCTAGTCCATTTACAGTTTTATGGCTGCCTAGCTAAAGTGGTAAATCATACCCTCCCGCCCTTCTCCCAGGACTGAGAGCTACTCAACTCTCCTCACAGGGGGTTTATGAGTTTCTACTGGTTAATGAGTTTACGTGGCTGGTAAATTCACTATGACTGGTCAGATGAAGCTCTGCTGTGGTTAAAATGAGCTATTATTTCTGGGAGGTAAATACAGGAGAAGTGAGGATACAAAATAAGGCACAGTTTAAGTGTTACACAATGCCTTAGAGGTCCTGGATTCTATTTCACAGCATGCAGAAAATTGCTCTACTTGCCATAAAACGTGTACTTGTCGTTTTTCAGTACACAAACAAATTCATGCTAAAAAATATGAGAAATGTTTGCTTTCGATTGAGAACTGGGTAAGACCATATGTTTCTCTCTAGATTTCGTTTTAAAGGGGTTTGGTAAACAGAAATAGCAGTTTTTTAGAAATGTTATCACTAGGCATCAGGCCTCTAAATTGCCTTTTAGAGAAAGATTAAAGAAAATCTCTTTAGCTCGTAGGTTATATGTCAAATGTCTGAGGATAGCCATAAGTTTCAACATACCTTAAGTTGTCTGGGAGTCCTGGGAAAGGCCAGCTTTAAGAGATTATTAAAAAATTAGTAAACATTTCTATGGCTCCTGTTTCTGTTGTCATTATAGAGTTCAAGGACTCACATTCTTTCTGAGTAATGTGGTGCCTTTCTTTCTTTTTTTTCCCATTCTGAAATGTCAAGTGGATTTTGCTTCTGCACATACCTTGAATGACAGTTTCTGATGACTAACACATTGTTAACAGCCGGCTCACTTTGTTTCCCATTAGAAGTTAGTCAATAACTGTGTTTTACTAAAACCCTGAAACTCATGGAAGTAGGTGAATGCAGGAGTGGTTGTGAATTCTTTAAGCCATAGTTATCTGAAAGAAAATGTAGTTTAGACTCTGAAAAGCTTAACTGTCTGCTTAGGTAAAGCGACACAGTGCAGCAAGACAGACTATCTTTTTTAGGGAAAAAGAGATTATTTGATGCGCATTGCTTTACATTTTCAAAGTAATGTAATAGTTTGGCTTCTGTGAAACATTTAGATCAGTGTAGCTAAAATACTTTGAAGTATGACCAGAATGAAGATTTCATTCTGGTCATACTTCCAAGGTAAGTCAGAATCAGTCCCTTCTTATTTTTAAAAATGCATTGAAAACAATAAGTTGTAGAAATGCCAAGAGAAGTAGTGATTTCTGTTCCGGGACTTACATGTCACACTTCTTTTGTTTTTAAGATATGACTCTTCGAGTCATCAAGGACCCTGTTCACATTTTAGTTTCACTTAATTTAGTTTAATAGAAAATATTTATTCTTGAATTTTCTTTAAAAAGCTATAATATAATTATGAATATATAGGGTGCTAGTTTTATAATTTTTTAAAATGTTGGCTGAAAGCTGTAATTAGATTGAGGTTTTTAAAAATATCAATGCTTAAAATTTACAGAAGGAAAAGAGTATTGTGTAAGGTAAACCATATGTTTTTGTAGAAACTTTTAATTTTTTTCCTTCTTTAATAATTATATTCATATTATATAATTCTATTTGGTCTTTATCAGTTAGCAACATATTTAATAATCCTCATAAATCTGAATCTTTCAGACTGATGTACTATAAATATTTATACTGCACATTACCACTATCCCACATGTACTAAAACATGTTTCAAACTATTACAAACAAAAAAGCAACAAGCATTATATTTTATTGGATATATTTGATGTTAACAGAAATGTTTCATTGATTTTTCTATCACTTTTAATTCGTCCCATTTGTGAAGTAATAAAAACAACACTAATTGCCATAAAATAAGCAAAAATTGTATCCTACCTAAAAACTCCTCTTCAGAATACTCATTGTAGTGTAATCAGAGTTTGTGACTGCACAGGGCAGGGATCCCCCTGACTGTTTTGGTGTAAGCTAAGATGAACTCCTTTGTCAAAGGTGCTCTTTATGGAGGGAGTTAGGAAGCAGAAGTTTTGAGTGACAACTGCCATATTGGCTAAACCTCTAAGCTCTTATGCTCTGACCTTCAAAGAGAATGTGCATTTCTGTCACTGTGTAAAACAAAGTTACCTTTATTGTGCCCTTAGCTTGGGCCCTGTCTCCCACATTATCTCCTGGTCTGTATAGCCCACCATGTCTGTATTATTGGGGCCACCTTTCTTGGTCATCTTCCACTATGAATAGTGTTGTATTTTATGCTCCACTGTGCTTTTGCAATAGTAAATATTCCACTTTTATTGCGTATCATCATATAAAACATCCTCTAGGTTATTGTTTCTTGTATACTGTTAGTGTGATTTGGCAACGAATTCACCCTGTGTTTATTCCTGTTTCTTCCCTCTGATGGACTATAACAAGTTACATCAGCTCTCTGTGTTACCCCAACTCTTGTAGCAACACAGATCCTTTTGAAATAAGCAGGTGGACCAATGTGAGAGTAAATTAATATTTTACGGCATTTGCATCACATTTGACTGTTCTCTGCATTTCAGCAGAATGGGAGGGGACTGTAATTTGGACTCCATAAAATCTTATCTGCCAGGTGATAGGTAAATAGAATTGTGTGCACACACACGTAGATAGACGAGCAAACACTCTCCCAACTGTGAGCTCACCCAGCACTCCCCACTCCCTGCAAATCCATGGCACCTACAGCTTGTTGCAAAATGATTACCAAAGTCTTGTGAAGCACGTTTTAGATGTTACCAGGTAAAATCAAGACTTCCCTCTCCGCTTTCAGGAAGCACTAAGATTCAAGAGAGTTTTGTGAACTTCTGTTTGACTTGGCCACTGTTTGTAACTCCACAGACTTCTTGGTGGAGGGACTGTGGCTTCCAAGGATTTAAAGGACACTAGAGTCGACATCAACTTTTCCTCCTTCTTTATACACAGATTTCACATGGTGAAGCCACAGGCTACAAAAGTTCTTTTGCATGGCAGTCCCAGGCATACAATAGATGCTTAAATAAATGCTTGGTGAATGGATTAGTTAGAAGGAAGAATACTTTGGCTACTATTCATTGCTTTGAAAAGTGCTGGAAAGAAATAGAAGTTATTTTCCTTTCCAGCTGGGCTGTGCTCTTAAAAATAGCGAGTGTGTAAGGATGAAAATAATCATGACTACTGAGATGTGTTGCCATGTACCCAAGGATAATTGGCTCACTTACCTGTTTACAGATTATTCACATTAGAGATCAAATTCATAGCTCCAGAATAGTTTCTTTCTGACACCCAGTGTAATTCTGGGCCTTCTCCTTCCTACTGTTCCCTGGCGTGAGCTTAGGAAACCCAAACTAAATTTAAAATCAGCCTAAACAAATGTGCGGATCAGCTCCAGCAATCAAAGACTGTAAATCAGCTCAGGGTTTCCTAGTTTGGGGATTATTTTATCAAGCTGGGCTACTGGTTCTTTGTCTCTAATGTGGATAATTGGGTATCACCAGTATTTAAAAATATAATTTTAATGGGTAGGGATAAATTGTTAATAGATCAAGCCCTCAACTTCTTCCATTTTTACGCATAGGTCTTTACTTCCCAAAAACTACTACAGGCACCAAGCTCCCTGAGGGAAAGGTATATGGAACATCCATTTCTTCTCTCATCCACCCATTCACACCATTCACTCTTGCATCATATAGTGGTAATTTTTACCTGACCGTGTGTGAGGTATTGTGGCAAAGTGAAAATGACATAGACATACATTCAATCATTAAGTGATTTGGGGTGGAAAGTCTAGTGGGGAACGTGTGCACATGTTAAAATGCTCTTCTTCATCTTCTACTTTTCTGTAACCCACTGGACTCGTATGCTACCAGCTAAGTTCTTCCATGATCCTTTCTCAAGTTGCCTGTTGACAGATAATATGTGCCACATTAAAATTAGGCTTTGGCTCGATTACTATTTAGTCCATGTTCATTTCCACCTGATAGTCCTCGTGGGTATCAGCATGTGTTTATCAGATGTTTGTCTAGAATCGTTGAAGAAAACAGTGACAGTGGACGGCTCGACTGGGGAGACCATGCTTCTAATTCGACTGAAGTGATGACCTTTCTGTGTGTTGGCTTCCCTCTGAGCCTTGGGGTATGAAACCAGATCTGCTTTTTGAGCCGGCTGGTGTCTGTGTAATGGTCGTAAAACAAATTGCAAAATCCGATGTTCTTAAAATTCATATTTCAGTGCGTAGACCCCTAAGATGGACTTCTTTTTAAAAGCAGTTTATTCTGGTTTTTTTTTTTCATTTTGGATCTTCTCTCCTGTGCTTCCTGGACCCTTGCAGGAGCATCGTGCACCTAGTCACCAGGGTGGTCCATTCAAGCTGCAGATCCGTCTGTCCTCCTTACACAGCAATCTCGTTCCCCACTGCCACCACAGGGAAGTGCATCGCATGTCAGGTGAGAGTTGTGCGAAGCTCCTTGTTTTCCATCGGAGGGTAGAATGTTGAATGTCATTTTCTTTGCAACCTATACTGTGTGGGAAATTGAGAAATCGCTCTGATTTTTTTTTATATATACATTTGGATTAAGGCTTCCGTTTGGTTTAAATTATTTGGTTCCTGAAGAAGTCTGTATTTGACTTTGTGACAATAGATTGCTGCCGTTCGGGACTTGAGCCTGACCGTTTTAATCGTCACTTTTCCTGAAGACAATTAAGCATGTTATGCTATCAGATATCTTCAGTGTCAGTTTTCACATTTTAGGTTTTGCTTGTATTAGAATCCGGACGTAGGGGAGAACCAGAACTGGTTGCTTGATCATTGGCAACTAGTATTTTTTTGCATCTTGAATTTCTTTGTGTCTGTTCGGATTTTACAACTTCCTGCTTTCCTCACATACGGTAAATTCTTTTGGCTTGGAGGTTCATGTAGCACAGGGTGTTATGTGAGGGCTGATGACTCATGGTTCTCGTTAAGGAGAAAACTAGAGGGTATGGCCATGAATGAAATCCAGAGCTAGCTGGGACATGGGGTAACAGGAGATGGCCAACAGAGGTGTACGCAACCCAGAGAGACTGTGAAATAGAAAATAGGAGATCAATTTCTATTTGCCTTGGGAGCAGTCCTGTTGGAATCTGTGGAAATAGGCTAGATCAGAGGTTCCCAAGCCTGGGTAGGCAGCAGAATCACCTAGGGAGAAGTTGAGGCTCCACCCTGGAACTCCCGACTCAAAATGTTCCCTGCTGGTTCCCTGAACTCATTACTCTTCCAGGTGTTGATGCTGCATGGGTTTGGGAACGGTCTGTTTCCTTAGTTGGTGAGAAGCACTGTCTTCTTTTACCAAACCTCACATTTGCCCAGAGGTGGGTATTTGCTTTTCAAGAATGTTCATTTTGAGAACGATTCACCCCATTTCTCCTTCTCTACACTTAAAATCAGTTAAGTTACTTATGAATTCCATGGCCTCTCAGAGCCCAGAGCTCTGAAAGTAGCCCATCTGGGCTTAAAAGTGGGAGGCACTTCTCTGACCTCGACCAGTCCTGCATCCTTCCCATACCTCAGTTTCCTTGTGAGTAAGATGCAGACGGCACACAGGGCTGTCAGGAGGATGGAGGAAATGATGGATGTACTGTGGGTGGAGTGGTGCTTGGCCAGTGGCTCGGGACTGTTAACATCAGCCTCCACTGTGAGCAAGTAACTTGTTTCTGGGCAGGGTGCTTGTACTGGGCTTGTTTTTTCAGGCCATACATGACTAGGAACAGGTAAATATACCTAGACCTTGGTCTTTGGACCAACCCTGTCGACATTTGCAACTCTGCAAAGCCAGTGTGCCTTCTATTTTTTTTCTAAATTGTAAATTCTGGATTTCACCACTCCCTTACTGCGGTAGGATGTATGTGCATGTTTTTGCTTTTTTTTTTAATTACGATTTTTTTTTTTGTTATAAGATGAACTGATGAATTGTGGGCATAAATGGTTATTTGTGGTCTGAGTGAAAACAAAGCCCTGAGTGACATAAGCACTAAGCCTCAAAAAGGGGAGCTGGCAGAGTCCTCTGGGGGACAAGAGGGAGGGGAGAGGGAGCTGTCACCAACATTGTATTCTTGTGAATTATGGAACTAGGTTTATTATGTTTTATGGGCTGTGGATTAGAGAGGTGCTCTTTAAATGGAAAGAGAATAATGTAGAGTAACTGCAAGGATAAGCTTCTTAAGGGCTACAGGTGTCAGCTAATGGGAAGGGTGGGTGCCTTCCTGTTGATTTCTTGCTCCGTGGGGTCCCCATTTAGCAGTTAGATGCCAGGAGGAAAATCCTCACATTGCAGTTTTGGGGGAATCTGGCTCAGTTGCATATAGGGTGTATAAATATGCAATGATTTTTTTAACCTGTGGTATTTATAAAGAGAGTCGCTGGTCATAAAAAAGTATCTCAAGAATTTTATTGTGAAGAAACCAGCAAGAATTCCTACCTTTGGGTCACGTGCAGCTCTTGGAGAAGAGACTCACGTGTTTCTAGTCTAATAAGCAAGTCCGTCTTATGAATACTCATATTGTATTGCTGACAAAATAGTGCAAAGTCACCTTGAATTTTTAGCAGCTGACATTTTCTGTGATTGCATTTAAAGGAAGCTTATACGCATTATCTAAACATTTGGCATAAATAATGGCCTCATTACAGTCCTCGTGACAGATGACTAAATGTGGGCAGGGGAACGGTATCATTCATGTTGTACTCAGTTATGTTCATTAAGTTTTTTCTTTTTTTTAAATGAAAGCCTGGATTACAATTATTTCTGGTTCTAGTCATTTTATAAATATGATATAGCTATAGCAAGTTATGACCTAACTAGTTCACAGTTACTATCTATGTAAAGAAATGATTCATTCATTTATTCATATTGTGTGTGTGTGTGTTTTTTAAATGACTTCACGGTGCTGTAGAAATGGAAATGAGTAAGAGCTGCCGGAAGGAGGTTATCATCTTCATGGTCAGGCAGGGGAAAGAAGGAATGTTCTGAAATATCGAACACAAGGCAGAAGCCGGTGGCTTGCACTTTCTGGGGAGGAATTCAGAAGAGGGACCAGGGAGGGCTGCAGAGGAGGGCCACTGGAGCCGATCTCTGGGGGCTGGATTGCATTGGTGTGGGAGGTGATGGATGGAGCCCAAGGACAGCCATGTAAGTGGCTGGGATGTCATCAGCAAGTGCTCAGTATGTTACTGACCAGGCCACCCTGGTGGAAACACAGGTGCTGGCCTCTATCTATTCTGGAGTCAGGCAGACGGTAGGGAGGGTGGGAATAAAATGGTTGCAGTCAATTTGGAGGAGTCATTGGCATAAAAGTGATCTTGGAAATTGGGCTTTGAGTTCCTGTGTCTGGCAAAGAGCTAGACCCAAGGCGGGAGAGGACTGCATTTCAGGGCTGACAGATGGTGGCCTAGGATTCGTGGAGGGAAGGGTGGCTGGCTGGGAAATTGGAGGGCACAGCCTACCTGAGCCTCCTCTTCAGGACCTGGGGTGAAGAGGGTGAGGTGGAGGAACCCGGATGCTGTGTGGGTGCATAATGGGGATTCCCTCCCTCCCCCCAAAGCTTGGGCACCTTGGAAACCAAGAGCTGAACTGCCACTCAATGAAATCTCAGCAAGACCTTTATTCCTGTAAATTACATCCAGTTCCTATTCAAAAAAATAGGAACTGGATGTAATTTCAGCTGCGTCTAATATGTGAGTGTGTGAAAATGCGCGCAGCTTTTGAAATTCAGCACACGCGGGAGTTTTCATTTAAACAAATGATTCTTCTATTTCCCCCTAAACAATTTCATGAAGAAGATTTTCAGTGGTGCCCTGTACGTAGAGACAACAGTCCCAGGGTTTCCTTTGATCTTCTGCACTGTGGGTTCACTCATCTCCTGTGATGTGCTTAAATGACATTGTGCTGTCTGCTTGACTCCGTAGCAATTGTTCGTTTGTGGCAATTCGTTTACGGTACTTTGATAAATCCCATTAATATGGGTATGTTTTGGAACATTAGAGGGCTTACCAGAGGCTTTCTGCAGACTTTAAAAAAAAGTGTATATATATATATATATATATATATATATATATATACACACACACACACACACACACACACACATATTATAAAGAGGGGAGGGAGGTAGAGACACCAAACTTCTAGACATGGCTCTTTGAACAGTGTGTGGCTTTTAATTTATATTTTGTAGAAGGTAAGGAAATACAGAATGGGTGAGCCTTAGTTCTGGGGAGAAAGCTAGTCTAAGATTTCATGGCTCATAGGGGAGGGGAAGGATCTGGTTCCATGGGTGCTAGGGAGCAGTCTGTGTTCGTGTAGTTAGGGCCAACTTGAGGGTTAGCTAAGATTTTTTTTTTTTGGCCTGAGTTATTAAGGTGGGTTTCTGTACTATCTGCTGATGCTTAGAGTCAAGGCAGTGATTTACCTAACTTTCTTCAGAGAGGAGGATTAGGACAGAAGTGAGAGGGATGGGGAAAACAGTTTTACTGTGTGAGACAGGATACACCAGGAAGGCATGAAAGAGAATGCAGAGATGATCAGTTGTTCACGATTATCACTCTGAATAGTAACCCACAGAATTGTCACTGTGGCCCTTTCTTATAGGCACTCTGGTAATCCTCATTTCATAGATGAGAAAACTAGCACAGAGAGGGTAAGTAACTTGCCCATGTTGGCCCAGGAGTTAAGTGATTATGGTCATGCTCGGATCCCAGTTTCCCTCTTGATTTTGGCTATAGATTATCTCCCAAGCTCTGAGCCTGTCTATAAGAAGCTTACGGGCAGATACACAAGGCAGGGCATGCCAGGAGTAAGATTTAGAGAAGCGTAACCCAGGTCTAGTGTGCTCTCAGAGGTGAGGCTCGGCGAAGGGTTCCTGGGCCAGGAGCTTCCCACTTCTAGGCCTGCCTGCCTGTCCACCCAGAGTCACCCACAGGCTTTCGGATACAGGCTGTCTTGTAGAGTCTCCTCCATTTCTTTCCCTCTGCCTCATTCCTCCCTGAGATTCCTACGCACTTCCAGTAATTATTAATTGGAGAAAACGATGACACAGGCAATATGCTTATCTGTTTCAGAGGATTGGCTTAAGTTGGCTCCAGATGTTGCTTGGCATCCAGAGTCCCAGGGAGACGATGAACTTTTGACTTTTAAAAGAGCTTCTCTGGGTCACCGCTCAGCGCGCAAGATTTGGCAGACACGATCTCTTTCTCTCCCCGTGTGCCGTGCTGGGTGGTGGTGTGGCCCTCACTGCAGGCTCCCAGTGGAGGGAGCTCAGGCTGCAGTGGGGTGGCCGCGGGAAGCTCAGATCGCCCATCCCCCCTGCCTGCCTCGGCGAGTGCCTCATTTTCTCCCCTTCCCTGGACCAGTGAAGGGATCTTAGCCAATTCATGTCCGGAGGAAGAAAGGTCACGTTCCTCAACCAGCTCAAG